TAGACCAGGCTGGCCTTGAACTCACCGAGATCTGCCTGCCTCTGCCTCCTGAGTGCTGGGATTAAAGACGTGTGCCACAATGCCCAGCTTAGTCTGGTACTCTTAATTACCATGTGCCATGTAGATAAAGCTTGGGCAAAGAACAAAGGCTCTCAGATAACCTTGACTAGATATATATTATACTCTTTGATCTAGTTGTATGTATAATTTGTCAGCAGATTGTTGGATTAATATGGTTCCCTTTTGTTTTTTAAAACTAGCTAGGCATTATCTCTTGCATTGTCTAACCCTTCCACCATGGTTTCCCCATTTAAGGTGTCCCCATTTTTCCCATTTCTCTCTTAATAATACCTTTCTCCTATGGTCCCACTTCTCTTGAGATCCTTCTTTCCCTTTATTCCCTAGGTTCCTTGTATAACCTTCCCTCCCCCATCCCCTTAAAATAACCCCATTTTTATCCATATCTCCCTTATTAACGCCTGTTTCCTACTGTTCTTCTCTTTCACATTGTTCCTTTTCCTTTACCTCCCTGGTTCCTTTTCATTATCCTGGTTCCTGTAGTTATGTCTGGATACATACTCACGTATAAGGATTATAAGAAAAACTCATCTTACAATTTATATTAAAACTCAAAGGACCTTGAAGAGGAAAAAAAAACTTTTTTTTAATTGAAAAAAATTGAAGTTTTGCATTTCCTGATTTCAAAACATACAAAGCTATAGTAACCAAAATAGTATGGTACTATCATGACATATAAATAAAAAATACAGAATAGTGAGCCCAGAAATAAACCCATGCACATCACATTAAAAAACGAAATGCCAAGCCAGGCATGGTGGTGCACACCTTTAATCCCAGCACTCAGGAGGTAGAGGTGGGCAGATCTCCGTGAGAGCCAGGCTAGTCTGGTCTACATAATGAGTTCCAGGCCAACTGGGGTTACATGGAGACCCTGTCTCAAAAAACCAAAACAATAAAAATAACATGCCAAGATCACTCAACAGGGAAAGGAGAGTCTCTTCCAAAACTGGTACTAGAGCACCAGGTATGTTGGTACATGCCTTTAATCCTAGCACTCGGGAGGCCAAGATAGGTATCTATGAAGCTATGTATGTGGCCAGCCTGGTCTACATAGCAGGTTCCAGGCCAGCTGGGACTACAAGGAGACCCTGTCTCAAAACAAAACAAAACAAAATGGTGCTATGTGAAGCTGCCTTATACAACAGAGTGTGATGCACACAGAAGGCCACAACTGGCTGAGTTTTAAAGAATAAGAAACTGCAAAGCATTTCTGGATAGGACTCCTATATTGAACCTTATCCACCCACAGCTCAGGGACAACTGTGGAAGAGGGGGGCAGAAAGATCGTAAGAGCCAGGGCTGGTTCATGAACACAGGGAGGCAGAGGTCTTCAGAACCCTGGAAGCTTGCACATGTGAACATGTGGCAATGGTGGCATCAAGCACAGGATCCACGTCAACTCAAACAAGGGCCCAGAGGGGAGGAGAGAAATGGATGGTGGGCCAGCGCTAGACTGAGAACTACTGGAGACTGACTCCTACTGGGAGAGGGAGAGTATGCCTTACATTCTCGAGGTGGGCTGACTAGACTCCGGTGGATGAATTTGCACCAAAGGGCATCTAGGTACAAATGCTTGACTGGGTAGGACTTAACATTTATGACAGAATGCATGAGGTCCGGTGGGGGACTGGGAGACATGGATGGGGGAGGAGTCTAAATTTGATTAAGAACTGTATGAAATTGAAAAAGCTCAAAAAATGTTTTAAATGGTGCTAGGAAAACTGGATATTCACACATAAAAAATGATTTTTTATACCATATACAAAAAAATTCCAAATAGATGAAAAACTTAAATCTATGACCCCAAACTGAACACTTCTAAGTATTATTTTAAAGAAATATAATTCCTAGAGGAAAATAGAAAAATTACCTTCAAGGGACTGAGCTTGACAATAACTTCTTAATATACCACCCAAATCACACGCAAAAATAAATTAGAAGTAGAAATAGGCAAACGGCTGCATCAAACAGAAAAACTGTTGTGCATCAAAAAATATATGAAGAAGCTCAAGAGATGGCTCAGCAGTTGAGAGGCTTCTCTCGCAGAGGACCCAGGTTCAGTTTCCAGAACCACATATCATGACTCTAACTTCAGCTTCAAGAAGATCTGACATCTCTAGCCTCCAAAGGCACCTGCACTCATGTGCACATACCCACATATAGACACATACAATACACACAATTTAAAAAATAAATCATTTTTAAAAATTTAGAATACCTACTAGAACCCCCTCACAAATAAAATAGCAAATGTTGGTGAAGATGAGGAAAAAATGAATATTCTTTAAAAAAAAATTTATCTGTTGTTTGTGTGCACATGTAGTGATCAAAGGGCAACCTTCCACAATGTGGGTTTCTAGGATCAAACTTGGATCTTCAGGCTTGGTAGCAAGTACCTTTACCAAATGAGCCATCTCACTGGGATGCACTTGCACTTCAAGTCATAGGAGGCATTAGGCAAATTTCTTTCATGCTCTGCTGGCTAGGAAGAGGTTCCCTAGTCCAAGTAACCATCCTAATGGAGCTTTGGAGCTGCAGTATTCTGGAGTCAGAAGTTTCTATTCTCAGCCAGAAACAAGCTAAAGACAGACTCCAAAAAGACATTATTAGATACAAACTGGATAAAACTACCAAGAACTAGCAGATCATATCTGATGATGCCTTGTCTCTGAATGCTGGAAACCAAAGCTTTCAGTATTAACCAATCACGTCACTTTACATATATGCTCCCAACAGAGAAAACAAACCCCTGTGGCTGGAGAGATGGCTCAGTGGTTAAGAGCACTGGCTGTTCTTGCAGAGGACTCCGGTTTGGTTCTCAGCACCCACATGGCAGCTGACAACCATCTGTAACTCCAGTTCCAGGGGATTCAATTCCCTCTTCTGGCCTTTGTGGGCACTGTACATGATAGATGCACTTACATACACACAGGCAAAACACTCATATATAAAATAAAAATAAACAAATTTCTAAAACTTTGAAAAATAAAACCTCAAAAACATTACCTACAAAGTGAGCCCCAGCTGTTTTGAGTACAAGAGTCCCCTGAAGGACGCACTATTCCCAGAAGCACTGCAATACCAGATCTATGTACAGAGTGAACAGAGCAAGCTCGCATTCCATCTCCTAGCTCCCAAATCCATTTAATAGATTGTGCTCAGATAGAGACCATATCAGATATTAAACTGGTAATAACAGATCCTATACTTGATCTTAGCCAAAAGGCTGAGAAGATTTTTAAAAATTGAATTCTTGTACCGATGAGATTATAAAATGATACAATCACTATGGAAAGCAATACAGAAACTCCTCAAAAGTTAAAAAAAATAGAATTTTATATGACCTAAAAATTTAACTTACAGATCCAAAAGAATTGAAAGTAGTCTTGAAAAGGTTCTGCCTAATCAGGTTCACTACTCATAACAGTCAAGAAGTAAACAATTCACATCATTTAGGTTATCCAAGGATGCAAGATATCTGTGTGTATACAGATACATATGTGCATATATACAAACACATATATGTATGCCATCCATGCATATGTACATAAGATATACAGATATGAGATTTATGAGAACTGAATCACATGATTATAACAGTCAAGAAGTCCCACAACATGCTGTCAGCAGGTGGAGAAGCAGGTTAGCTGTGCTGTATTTCAGATCAAGTCTGAAGAGCTAAGAACCAAGGAACCCCACCATCTCAAGAGTGAATTGGAAAGCCGGAGAACCAGGGAGGACACTAGTGTAACTCCTGGAGTATAAAGGCTCCAGAACCAAGAGCTGTAATGCCCAAGGGCCAGAGAAGATTGATGGGAGGAGGGGGAGAATGAGAATATTTGCCTTTCAGCCACCTTTTTGCTCTATTCTAGCCTATCCACACTTGTGAAGGGGACTTCTTTATTCAGTGTACAAAATGCTAAATTCTAGAAAACACACTCACTGACAAAGGTAGAAATAGTTACTATCTGGTACATTTAGCCTGGTCAAGTTGACACATAAAACTCATCATCATAAAATCTAAACCTGTTGAAGGATGAATGGATACACAAAAATATGGAATATAGAGACTGGAGTATCATTCGGCTATAAAATGGAGAAGAAAATCCAGTGACAGGTTATGACATAGATGAACCTTGAGGAATTATGTAAGTGAAATAAGACAGTCACAAAGTAACTCCATTCATATGCATTATCTTGGGTCATCAAATGCATTCAAATCAAATAGGTAGTTACCTGGGATTTGAGGGATAGAAAAATGCTTAATATCATTGAATTATAACTCAAAATTGGTTTAGATTTTTAATATATTTCTCACTATAATATATAATTACTAAAACAAAAATTTTTGATCTACTTAGGCATTAACCCAGGGATCTTAAGATTCCAAACCAAGATATTTTGGTTAATGGAGACCAGAGACCCACCATGCGTCTTCCCTGCCCTCCATTTCTTCCACTCTGCAAGCAAAGCAGAGTCAATAAGCCAGAGGTGCCCACCCTTGTGGTCTGTGACTGTTTCCCTGCACAGCCTTGCCACAACCCAGCCACCTCTGGGACACAGTAAGCATCAGCTTCTCTACCCAGCCAAGCTCAGCTTTGCCCTCATGAATCCTGGTAAAAGTGGGCCTCATGGCTTCAGCCCCACAACTGAACAGCAGGACCAGATGCAGCTTCAGGCAGTACAGAATTAGCCTCCAAGTTCAGGGAAGAAAGTAACAGCTGAACTACCCCCCTCCCTAGACACACACACACACACACACACGCTGTATATCCTGCATAGACAAAGGCTTCACTTCTTTTGGGTGTTCCAACAGGAAAACTAAAAATAGCAAGAATGGGACCATGCCCAGTACTGGCCAAGAGAAGGGACGAGAATGAGCAGAATCAGTGGAAGACAACCCTAGCAGGCCAGGGCCTTGTTTGGGCTGGAACTCCATCTCGTTTTGTTACTTTCCTCAAACAGACCCAAAACTCAGTAGAGTAAGTAAATTCCAGTTTATTTTAAGTCCCCTTTATTTACAGTACAAGCCTCTAAAAGTTTAGGGTAGTTATCTTTTAAATAACATGTCAATCATATAAAACAGCTGGAACCAAAGTAGAGAAATATATACATTATAATACATTAAGTACTTTCAATATTGAGTTTTTCATATTAAATTAGGAGGCTATTGTGGTTTACAATGTTATTTCTATAGTTTAAAATCCAACCTGTTAAAAGACATATATACATTTTTTTTACAAAATTGACAAAGCAGTATTAACAAAACTGTTCATTATAATTTTTTTTCTATAATACACTGTACCCCTATTACAAAAACAAACAAACAAAAAAAGGCATTGCACTAGACGGTTTTAATACTGCATCAGTCAGTATGTTAACACTTAGGAAGAATCAATGTCCTGATCAGATTGATTGCCAGACTCACTCACAGTTTTCACACTTTAAAGGAAGCTAACTTTCCACAGGCAGATTCCTTTCCTTAGCACTTTCACAGAAGCCCACTGCAAATGGCTAAAATGCCAAGAGGCTGATGGTCAACAAGGCATCGCACAAGCTAATGCCAATATGAGCAACCCCACTACTTACAATACTCAATAGAAGCAAAAGCTAGAAAACCAAAGTTTCTGTAGGAAACTTTTAAATCTATAAAGTGCTCAACAGACTACAAAAAGGCCTTACAATAGCTTATTTCTCTTGTTTTCCTTAGGCTAAGATATGAGAAAAAAAGTGAATCTTTTCTATTTTTTAAACAAATTTTGATGTTATCAAAAAGCTTCACATTTATGAATAAGATTTTTTACACAAAGCAAGATGTCAAAATTTTCTCATGTCGCTATCAATTATTTTGGGGATTCATATATATTCTAAAGAGGGATTTCTAAGCACGAGTTTTCTTCCTCATTTAGAACTTTCCAGTGTTACTATTCTCTAGGTTGTGAAAGGGACTTCAAGAGGAAAACTGATTGGACACACTGTACTTCAAGCACTGTATGTATACTGCCATGGCCTAAATAGAAGCAGCAAGGAGTCAGCTGTACTACTCATAACAAAGAGTTAAACTGTGTAGTCCCCTTTCATAAGGCAGCCCAGACATTAACTCTAAAAAGGACAGATGAATCTTTCACAGCAGTAACTTTTGCTTTGGAATGCTTAGCCACAAAAATACCAGAGGCAGCAGTACTTTAAAAACAAAATGACTTTTCAAGTCAGAGGCAGAAGACAGACATGCCACATTACTGTCAGGAGCTACTCCCATGGAGCATCCCCGCTACACACCGTGTACTGAAACTAAAAAGAAAACAGAGGCAGTCTGATCAAAGCTAGGGAGAGACCCCTTTCCAGTCCTTATGGGAAATGTACAGGATACATAACAAACAGCACTGGCATTTCTGATCCAACAGAGTCCTTTGTTTCTGATGCAAAAAAGTTCACAGTTTTTACCTCTGCACAACAGCTTTACTAGTCTTTAATATCAAAACTGAACTCCTTGGTGTTTGATGTACCTTCACAAGGCACAGGTGCAATTAAAGCAGGCAGGGCATAGGATCAGGCAGATAAGCCCATGTTCAACTTGTTAACAGTTCAAAATTAGTCATGCTTTTAACAGTCACCAAATACCAAACCACTGCCTTCTTTTGATAAAGCAAACTTGCCAAAATGCCCCTAGCTCGGGTGTATATTACATTCTCTGTAACTGAAAGCATCCAGCTTTTTTTCCTGAGAATATTAATGTGCTATTATAGAAAGTCTGAAAATGGATACTTAAAACTTGATTAATGTCCAAATATCCTTGTTACAGAGAGCAGCCAAGAGGAAATATTCTGGTATTCTGGGGTTTCAGTGGTTGTTCAAAATTCTGTACTTCTGGTCACTTTTAAAGGGATAAACAAAACTGCTAACTAGTAAACAAAAAGTTCCTTAACTATTGAATAATAACTATTGCTTAGCATTTCTCAATAGAACCGGCCAGTGTGTATAAAAACTGAAAAATGAGAATATCCACACTGAAAGCTTTTAATCTCATAGATACCACTTAGGCTGCTAGTTGTGTTGAAAAACACTTTGGCACTATAAAAACAATTTTTTTCTTCTCATCCATTTTCTTAGATTGTGTCTAATCTATTTTTTTTTTTTACCATAAAACATCCTTCATTCTTAATTTTTCATTTAGGGATTCAGTGATTGCAGATTCTTTTACTGCTTACTACGTTTCCCTAAAAATGAGAGAAAAGCTAGAATATGAACATATAAGTGCTGTTTGGCATATTCCACAAAAGTTTTAAACAAGCTGCTTAAAATGTTCTAAAAAAGATTTAAAGTTAATGGTTATAGATGCTTTTCACCCATAGAGAAAGCAGAATGTTAAAACATGAAGTGTACTTAAAAACAAGATAAGCTGCGAGGATAAAGAATATGGCAAGATTCCAATTTAATTCAAATTTCTCAATAAAGCAAGCACAAATCTGCTTAATTGGCCATTAATGGAATAAATCAAAATTTTTCTAAATGTTTCAGAAAGTATAATCACATACATTAAGTTACTACATATGAAAGACAAAACAAACCAAGCAGCTCTGCAAATACTTTCTCAGTAAAGAACATGTCAAATGTGATACCAGGGTAATCACAATCTATCAGACAGTGCCTCCTTCTTTAAGCAATTAAGTCAGTAGACAGACAACTCAGTTTTTTACCCTATCTACTTATCTCTAATTTTAGTCCTGTGAAAAGAACCTGTATTTAGCTTTATGCAATTTCCAATTTGCAGGTAGCTAATTTGCAAGTATCAAAAACAAAGTGCAAATCCATGGAGCTTTTACCCTGCAGTTATAGTCTAAAGAGTCACAAAACTGAAAGGTCTTTGTGTCCAGTGGTAAATGTGAGGAAGAAATGAAATAGGTCACATATTTTTGGCTCTTGCTCCAACCCCTTTCATCCACAGTCCATTTCAAATTCTGCGCTTGATTTCAACAATTCAGATCCAACCCTGTCCAGTGGTCTGGTACCATCAGGAAATACTTATCCATTGCTTCACAAAACCTAGTCCTATACAGCTCTGGAGAGACCACTGTTGGCATTTTACCTAAGGTAATGAAAGACAAAAAGGGGAAAAAAGATGTTATATGTCTATCTGAACCCCTCTCTCTTTCCGTGTGTGTGTGTGTGTGTGTGTGTGTGTGTGTGTGTGTGTGTGTCTAAGTAAAATGGATTGAGACACCGACTTAACCAACTATAAAGTATCATATGCCAGGGCACTCTAGAGAAGTCAGGGTTATCTGCTATGCCATCTGCCATGGGCAGGGTCTTTTTCAGAAACAAGTTCTTCCCTATACATGAGAGATATCTAAATTCACAAAGGAAGCCAGTAGTGCTTGGAGAATTAAGGAGAGAGCAAGTTTTAATTAGAGACAATCTGTTATTCAGAATTTCTAGCTTTTTTTTTTTTTTTTTTTTTTTTTTTTTTTTTAAAAAGGGTCTCCCTTTACCCCCACCTTCCCTGGAACCCACTGTGTAGACCAGGCTGGCCTTGAACTCACAGAGATCGGCCTGTCTCTGCCTCCCAAGTGCTGGGACTACAGGCATGCGCCACCACGTCCATCTCAGAATTTCTAGCTTTTTAAAAAAATAAAATAAAAACTTCTTACTTTAAAAAACTCTAGCATTTAAACCCAATAATCCCCCACTTATATACCTTCTCACTTTAGTCATTTTAGAAATGGCAAAATCAGTAACAACCCATTGGTTGGTTGGTTGGTGAGTGGGTTTTGGGGGATGGGGGTGTCTCTCACAACCCAAGCTAGACTTAAACTCCAGATCCTCCCACCTCAGCCTCCTCTCACCTCAGCCTCCTAAGTGGTAGGATTGTAGTGTATCACCATGCTGGGCTACCATATTTTTTAGAATTTTTTAAAATATGAGGCTGGAGACATGGCCCAGTGGTTAAGAGCAGTGGCTACTCTTGCAGAGGACCTGGGGTTTGGTTCTCAACACCTACATGGTGGCTAACAACTGTCTGTTAACTCCAGTTCCAGAGGATCTGATGCCCTCTTTTGACCTCCATGGGCATTGCATGACACAGGTGCACTTACATGCATGCAGGCAACACACACACATAAAATAAAAATAATAAAACATGAAATGAATAAATTAAAACCTTAAGGAATATATGAAAACAGTTTAAAATGTAAACAAAACAAAAATTGCTTACCTTGTCCTCCTAAAATTCCTGTTGACTTCACAACCATCTCGAGTTTTTTGTCCCATGTAAATGTTCGAATATAATCTAGGGATGCAAGAAAGAGGGCAACCTGAGCAGTAAAGTTGTGGTATAAACATAAGCCATGAGAGCAGTAATAATGATTACTACTATTTCTATGGTACCTTTACTGAGTGCTGTCAATATGCCAGGTGCTGCTCCAAGGGCTGTCCCCGCATTACTCTGGCTAATTCTCATAAAAGTGGCACAGGGCCTCCTTTTTAAGTGATTTTTAGAAAAATTTATACATTTTTGGAAATGAAGAAATTAAATAAACACCTATTTTTTAAATTACAAATGAAAGCTTATCAAAATATTCAATAAACTATATTACAGCACTAAGTCAATAGAACAGAATCTTTTAAATTGTACTCTAGTTCCAATCATGAGCTGTAAGGAAGGTGTTACAGACTTACCAATGATTCCAACTACCAGCTCATTGCTAGTATCATCTCGCCCAACTAGCAAAGAATAATCTATGATGAGGTGGCTAGAAAGGAAATGGGCATCACTATGGATGGAGGTTCTCAGAACAGATTTGGAATGGGAACGAATGTACAGAGGGTTGTCTCGAACCATCTTGAGAAGGTTTTCATCCAGCAGGACCACATCACAACTCTCTTTCCCAGTGTCAGTTTTTACATTTCGATTCCTAAGTGAGCCCTTCAAATCAAAAACCTAGCCAAAAAAAAAAAGTATTATTTATGTGTGAGCTGCCACAATAGCTAATTAATGTAGTTAAAAGGTAGAAAGGCTCCTTGTAGTCACTATCCTTACATATACTTTAAAAATTCATTTTAAAGTTAATCAACTCTTCTAATTATGTCAAGTGCACGGTAATATAATTTTATAATACATAAAACCCATAGCATATAATACATTAATTACATGGTGATATAATAGTAACATATAAAACAAAACTAAGACTAAGGCACTCAAGTATTAAAATGGTCCAGAAATTTAACCAACTTTAAAATACATTAACAAGTAACCCTGAAAGTATATCATTGGCTCATCTAACAGTATGAAAAACGAGTCTTGGGAAACTTTTAAAATGTTGATATCAAAATCATGTACTATTACTTATGGCAATGTACAAGCCAGAGCATAAATTTCAGACTATTTGGATGGTAGGATATGTAAAAGAACTTCATGACTAGGATCAGTACAGCCTGGAGTATATTCTATAGACCAGGGCTGGCCAGCTGGTCCCAGCTCATAATGATGTTATATAGAGCTAGTGCCAGAATGTAAGATCATTAAGCATACTGTGTAGTTCAGTTAGTTCTCACACAAAGACATTCTCAGTAGAGAAAGTACAGTGCTGAATTAATGCAAGCACAAGCTTCTTATCTCACAGTTCAGGACCAGCACTTTGAAAAGCACTGTTTAAAATCTAGACAAGGTGGCAAGTTAGTGCCGTAGGTAGCAATGTCAGTCTCATAAAATCTAGATAAACCTGAAATCTAAAAGCAGCTAAATAACTCTGACAAAGTACTTAATTTCTATAGGCCTTAGCTAATTCATTCTTAAAATGGTGGAAGAAGAGCACCCTTCTTAGTCCATGTGATTCTAGAATATTGGATATGTTACATTTGGGGATGGAGTTATACCAATTTTTCTCCATTCTTTCAACAAATCAAAATTTAGATTTACCTTATTAACCAAGGTTAAGTATTTACTATAAAATAAGATGTTACTCAGGTTTAGTACATTCAAGAACCAGAAGCACAAAGGGTCCTCATGGCTAAATTCTTCACAGAGACCAGTATCCTCACCTGTGCCATCTTTCTCCCATAGAAAAGGTTTTCCATGACAAGGAGATCTAACTTCTTCTCAGTGTTATTCTGAGAATTCTTATAACCAATTCGGTAAACTCCAAGAATTTTGGCCAAAGCTGTGGGCCTCTAATCAAGAAAATATAAAAGTAAACTATTATCAAAAAATTATTTATAATTCAATATATCTGATTATCCACATAATAAGCAAGCATGGTTCTCATGTAATATCAAGCAAGATTTTATACCGATGTAACCAGAAAGAGGACTTTCATATGCTTTGATGTCAAAAGTTACTACTCAATATAACAGTGCCAATAAAAATAGATCCTTAAATTTTCCAAAAGGATATACCTACCTAGTTGCTCAAATTCAGAAACTTTGTGACATGGAATTTCCCCTAATAATATGCAATAAACTGTAATTTAACAACTAAAAAACAAAGAAAGAAAAGAAATACCTCTGTAATTCCTTCAAAAAATATTCGTGGGGCAAGGTCCCAGCTCAGTGACAAGTGACAAATATGAGCTACTGGCTTCCTTGCTAAGGGAAGTATCTCCTCATTTCTCAAGATAGACTTCAAATTTTTGTCTCAACAAAATTATAAATTACTAAACGTACAGCTAATTTCATCCAGTTTCAAAATTTTATATTGACACGTGTATCTCAAAAGTTAATTGCTCAAGGTCATTTGGTTCCTCATTGGCAAAGCAAAAAAAAAAATCTAAAAATTCTACATTCTATGACACCTCAGTAGCACAGCAGAGATCTCAGTTATGCTGTGCTCATATCTTACCACAGAAAAGACTGCTATCAGAACAAACACTCAGGATATGAAACAATCCAGTAAACTGACCATGGAAGAAGACTTCTACCTTTTGTTGGACAGCATTCGTAATATAACTGAAGTAGTGTGGTGCAAAATCGAGGAAGGACTGGACTTCCAGACGTGGCATTTGCTTCAAAATGAATCTATCATCTAAAAGGCAGAAATTCTACATTTATTCATCATAATCTTCTGTAAAATGAAAATAAAATCATTCCAGAGAACCCAAATCATCTACTTAGTTTCTATTTTTTGGATATTTATTTTTTTTAAATGACGGTGAAAATTTTGATCAGAAGACAATTCTCAAGTAATTAAAGGGCTAGAAGGAATCCTGAGAATTTCTATATAAAAGAAGCCCTTCTCAAATCTAAATTCATAGCATGAATTCATTCATTCAACTTTTAGAACTCTCAAAGTTTTATAAACTTATGTTAACTTATGTTAATCTCATAAGTTTTTAATCAAGCAACAAATGTATATTTTCTTAAATATTCTGCTTTCAGTGGGTATACAGAATACAATGTTAAACACATAAGGTCATGCTATGCTATTAGATAAGTTTTTGTAGGCAGAGAATTTGGTCTATTTTCGGGTCTAGTGTTACCTTTCTCTCAACAGATACCTCAAATATATCTAGTGTTACCTTTCTCTCAACAGATCTGAGGCACCCAACTGAGTTTTCTAAAAACTGTTTATTATAGTTTGAATCTGAAATGTATCCCTTCCCCCACAGGCCCAAGCTTTCAAACTTGCTCAAACCTGGTGATGCTATTTGGAAGCTACAGAATATTTATTTAGGTGGGTCCCAGTGGATGGATGTAGTTAGAAAAAGGTTATAGGTTCTATCTAGCCCTTCTTCTGCATCCCTCTGCTTCTTGTTTGCCACCACATGAAGAGGGATCCACAACACACTCCCACCACCATCCTGTTCTGATCAAGCACATGGGACTAACCAATCAGGGAATCAAACATGAGCAAAAATAAATTTTCCTCCCTTAAGTCAGTTCTGTCCAGTATTTTGGTCACAGAGATATGAAAGTAACTAACACAGTTTCTATTTACATTTGGGAAACACAGAACTAGAAAGAGTTCTAAGAATTTGACCAAAGTCTGAATCTCATTACAGACACACATTTATAATCTTTTAAATATTTTATTACATCTTCTCAAGAACAGAAAGAAATGGGAGGTTTGTTTGCCTACAGATAATACCACAGTGTTTCATGAACAATCTCAAGGGAAATGAGTAAAAAAGACTTGCCTTCAGTGGCATAGAAGGCAGCTCCTGATTTGCCTCCTCGGGCCTGCCAGGGTGATGAATGGGAAAGGGAACGAATGAAATCTTCTTCACTGCTGCCTAGAATCACTTCACGCATCTTATGAAATTCTCCCGCATAGTATAGCCGACAGTAAAACTTGGCATTAGCATCGGAAAATTCTATAAACAAAAGTTTTTAAAAGAGGGTTTATAAAGCAAAAAATATCTCTTTTCCCCCTCTCAGTACCTAATGTAACCATTTAGGTTTCTCTTTCATAGTGAAGTAAAAACTCCACTTATCACAATTTTGTTAAAGTGATCTTCACAGGATTATGGAATATCATCTGATCACTCTTACAACTCTTCAAAGAAATCAAACACAAGACTCGGTTACTGTATTTTCATCACTGTTCTTTTTGTTTTGTTTTGTTTTTCAAGATAGGGTCTCACTGTGCAGCCCTCGCTGGCCTCAAAGAGACCTCAGAGAGATTCCCTCACCCTGCTTTCATCACTGTACTTTTACAGAAATTCTTAAATACCTTTTTTTATGAGTATATGGTACTGGAGACTGAACTCAAGAGCCTCATATATAAGTTAAATTATTATTTTAATTAAACAGAGAGGTTAAAGAGTACATATTTTATAAATTGAGTTATAGATTCAATAAACTTCATGCCAACAAACTTAACATTCTTTTTAAAATTCAGTGTATTTATTTTGAACTATGCTAGAGGTCTCAGCATTTTTCAGTTATAGTCCCTGTCCTCAAACAATGTTATTCTATACTTACGAAGTTCCACATGAGGATTTGTGAGCTGTTTCTTTTGTGTATCTCCTCCGTCTATCTCATCTAAAAGGGTTATTATCATTAGTAAAGCAAAGAATTAGTTTTAAGTCCATTTTGTCTTTTCTTTTTTCCCCTGATATAGCAACAAAAGGTAGCAAATCAATAATAGAAATATCCTAGTTAAGTCACTATAAAGCACACATTAAACAAGTTATGTAAATGATTATAATAAAAATGTATGTTATTTTCTGAAATTTCACTATTTCAGGGTAGATAATTTTTCTTACATTGAAGTGATTTCTGTGACAACAGCAGAGTAACTCAACTCTTATGCCAGAATCCCTCAGCTTCTTTATCCATGTTTTTAGAAATATTTGATTTTTATGTGTATATTACATGCATGTGTAAGTGCACCCATGTCATGCAATGCCTGTGAAGGTCAGAAAAGGGCATCATATCCCCTGGAATTGAAGTTATGGATGGTTGGTAGCCACCATGTAAGTGCTGAGAATTGAAACTTGGTCCTTTGCATGAGCAGCCAGTTCTCTTAACTGCTGAGCCACTGCTCTAGCCCCTCTTTTTCCATGTTTATGATCAAATTTCCCTAGGCACATACAGAAAAACATTCTAAAGTCTTAACAGAGTCAGACTTGTTTTTTGCTTTTTTTTTTTTTTTTTTTGTATTTGGCTCACGTTAAATTTGGAATACATCTTAATATCTAGAAGAACAAATCATCCTCTAAGTGTCACAGCTCAAAATCATTTGTTAAGCATCAAAGTCATATCTTAATCACTAACCAAAATTTTTTATTTCAGCTGCTGTTTTTCTGTTTTGTTTTGTTTGGCTTTGCTTTGTTTTGAGACAGAACTCTGACATATGACCCAGGCTGGTCATGGATTCACAATCCTCCTGCCTCAGCCTCCTATGTGCTAGAATTATGTGTGTACCACTAAGCCCAACTACAGTTCCTATTTTTTAAATTACTAGTTCATGATCTGAACTAGAGGTCACCAAACAATTTCTCTAAAGAATCAAATAAATATTTCATGTAGTTGAAGTGATTCAACTAACTACTGTAATGTGAAAGGTCTGGCCTTATTCCAGGGTCAGTTCTTGGAGGAATCCTCTGTGGAGAGTCAGGGGCAGAAGAAGATAGAGGCTTAACAGAAATAGACTGCACACAGAAAAAAAAAAAAAAAAAAAAACAAACAAACAAAAAACAGGACAGGTCAGCAGAGTTTGCCAAATTAATGTAAATCTTCACTTTGATATTTTAAAAGTAAAAAAAATTTAAAATATCAAAATGAAGGTTTACATTAATAGCCATAGCTTTGCAGGCACTGGAAGGGACATCTGGAGAAGATTTACATTAATAGTTACAGCCCTGCAGGCACTGGAGGGGACAACCTGGAGACAGCAGTACAGTGGTGAAGAAGTACATAGTGTTATGAATCATGTTTACATGTGTAATATCATTTAGCACCTAGTAAACCTTAGAAACATTGCTTTTGCCTCTTTATAGGAATGGATACTAAGACTTTCTGGTTCTAGCACAGAATAAGTAACAGCACTGACACTAAAACCAGGTGGATTCTATGGTGATGTTTCTGATTTATTACACTAAAGATGTAAAACAGAGGGAAAGCCCTGGCCTCGCAAAGAATTATCTACTTAAGCCTGTAAGAAATATACAAAGCGAAAGAAAATAAATTAAAGCTTACAATGAGCAAATATACTTAACATACCTTGTGGTTCAATACCTTGATTCTCTATCCCTTCCTTGCCGATCTGCCCAACCTGATAGTAAGCACTATCTGCACCACGTAAGGTTTCTCTCTTCTGAGAAGAGAGATCAGGGCTTTTTCCTGCTGTTCCTCTGAAGAAGGACAACATTCCAGAAGCTTTTTTGGCTTAAAAATAAGAAGCAACATATTAATTTGAGCACAGGTCACTGCAATTGGGAAACAAAGATTTTCAATCCTTTGTTAGTAGTAACCATTACATGAGGTTAGCAAATCTGAGTTATGAAGATACTTTTATTTGCACAGATTGCAATTCATATGCTGATGCCGCTATGAGTCATCAAGCAGTCTTATTATCAGAAATAAGAAGAATATTCAGCTACTTAAATGTCAAAATGTGAAAACTTCTCCAGAAAGCCTCTCAAAACTGTCATTGAAAAGCAGTCATAATATATTAAGCAACGTGAGTGAATTACAACTGAATTCTTATAATGTAATACAGTTAAGCTAACATACAACAATTTCATAAGCTAAAAGAATTCAATGTTAATGATAACATCTTTGTATATTTTGTATTCTGTACTTTAACATAGGAAAAACATTTTGTTCACAGCACCTTTCAAAAAATAAATACTGTGGGGGGTTGGAGAGATGGCCCAGTGGTTACAAGCACTGGCTGCTCTTGTATAGGACCTGCGTTCAGTTCCCAGCACTCACATGGTGGCTAATAACTGTCCATCTGGGGATCTGACAGCCTTTTCTGACCTCCATGGGCATTACATGACATGGTACACTTACATACACACAGGCGATTCACTCATACACATAAAATAAAAATAATATTTTTTAAAAAAACAAAAACTAAGTATCATAGCAAGAATTTACAAAATTCTTCCTCTTTCATTTTTAAGTTTTGAGTTTCATTCATTATTTTAATATGTATGATTTTAATAATGTATATTTATCATTTATAAAATTCATACAGTATCAATAGTGAGAGTGTCTGAGATCCACTCCTGCATGTGTCTTTGCTAACAGAACAGCAATTTTGTAGTGATTGCTCAATGTAGAGACTCAGCAAATGGACACACCAGGGTAGTACTGCTCTTACTTTCTAGCTCTCTTTTAGAGTTAGGGGTGGCTCTATGATTCAGTTTGACCTGTAAGACTGAAGGGAGCACACATAATGTACTTATAATAAAAGAGAACAGATACGTTTTATACCACACCCTTCTTTCTGCTTCAAATGCAAACAAAATTAAAATATCCTTGTCTATAAGGAAAACTTAAGAGAAACAAAGTATCGATCTATCATCATAACAATGCTGAGCACCTCAACCACCACCAGCAACGGTTTGTCTCCAGAAATGTTATTTTTTAAATTTTAATTATCATTTCTTAAGCCTTTATAGTCAGGTGAATTTTCTGTTACTTGCAGCCCAATGTATCACCAACTGACAAAGTGAACAAGACCCATGTTTGAACCCCAGCTCTACCACTATCTAACCTTGACCTCATTAGTTAATCTAAACCTCAGCTTCTTTCCTAAAAATATTGAAACACATAAATTGTTCTGTGGTTATGGTAGAATTTAAAGGAGAAAATCTATGAAAATTTATTTTCATCATGCCAATAATAATATAAAACTAAAAAAATGTATATGTTGTTATATTTCATAGATTATACATTTTAAGCTGAAAGCTTAAAGAAAAGCAGATTCTTTTTTTTGCACAAAGGATTTCAAAGAATTTCAAATTCAATAATTTGAACTTACATTTCAAGTAAGGCTTAAAGAAAAAAAGGAAAAGATCTATAAAAGAAGATATTCAAAATATTTACATGTTTATTTTTTAAAAGTAGTAAATTTTTAGCAAATGGCATTTCTTGATTGTGTTTTCTTCCATAAATCATAATCACAAACAGAGCACTTATAAAAAAGTGTGCATTTGGGGCCAGCGAGATGGCTCAATAGGTAAGAATATTGTCTCTAGGTCTGACGACCTGAGTTTGATCACCAGGACCCACAACACGGAAAGAGAGAACTAACTTCCACAAGTTGTTCTCTGGCTTCCTCCACAATTGTACTGAGGCTTGGGTGTGTTCACACAGACACAGACATGCACAAATAAACAAATTTGTTTAAAGTCTTACTTGGCTGAGGTTCTGCTTCTGCTATGCGGGTTGTCTGTCCTCCACTGATTTCAGGTAATCTAATAGGGCTGCTACTCTTTGGTCTGTTATCTAACGTACTAACATGAAAAACAACAGGAAAATTTGTTTGAAGTTATTCACATAGAATATAGCAAGTATTCTAATTCCTACATTAATCTATTCCTTACCGAACCCTGTTTACATTAACACAAATCTGATTTAAAATTTAGATAATCACAGGTTACAACACAGAAGAAAACAATTCTTGAAATATCGACTCAATTTTAGAGAGTAAAATGTTGTAACTAGAAAAACACATGGAAATGTTAAAAAAAAAATTTTATAAAACTTTTCCAAGTCTGTTAGAACTGTAAGTCAATTACAGAAAATACCAATTTCATTTTTCTCATTCTAGTCACAAAGATGATAATACAGATCAAATTTATCAGGTTAGTTAAATCAGAAAATTTCAGTAAAGATAAACCTATGCCAACTTCTATCCTCAATACTGAACATGCTAAGTCAACTGATTAAGTACTTATTTTCTAAATATTAGGATCTTTAGTACTATGGAAAATTCACACTTAAAATTATAATGCCAAGCAGTAACACACTAATTGCACGCATTACTTTTTTTGTTAAATAAAACAGTTTCAGGTTTAAATCTGCAATACATAGTGAACTGAACTATTATAGCAAATGGTAGAAACTATATCCTAACAGTCTACATAAGGTATTTTGCTAGACTTGAATTTTGTTGCTTCAACAATTGGTAGAAATAAACTACCTGGATCCTAGATGATTTTACACTATAATAAAACTGAAATACAAGGATAAAGAAAATAATGACATTAGCTAGATTAAAACAGATTTTAATCAATCATGAATCACCTATTTGTTGGAAGCCCTTCTTCAGCACTGTTCCACAGAGTTGCTTTAGACAATTCCTCTAAGGCATTTCGGTATTCTTTACAACTTAAGGTAGAAATAGGTTAAAAATGTTAAACATTAAGCTCTTCTTTAACAATAAATCATAAGCTTTAAAATTAATTCTGCATTAAAGAAACACAATCATTTTAAGTGTCTATAATAGAACAAATACATTTAGGTTACCTAACAAAAGTGATCAAGCTTTCTGAGGAAGATCAATGCTTTCACAAAGAATTTTAAAAACCTCACCAAGCTGGGCGTAATGGCATACACCTTTAATTCTAGCACTTGGGAGGCAGAGGCAGGTGGATCTCTGCAAGTTCGAGGTCAGCCTGGTCTACATATTCAGTTCCAGGCCAGCTGGGACTACAGGGAGACCCAGATATGCAGATATTGCTCCATGGTAGAGCTGTCACTTAGCATCTGCAAGGCCCAGGGTTCAGTGTCCAACAACAAACACACAAACAAAAAGCCTATCTTCTAGTATTTAATATTTTTAATATTTACATCAAAATGGCAACTTAAAAATATAAAACATCAAGATTTAGTACAGGAAATTTTAAAGTGGTTTTCTATTTAAAGGAGCTAAATTAAAAAGAAAAAAAAGATTAATGTTAAAAAAAATCCTATTCTTGGACTAGCAGCCTGGAACGTTAACATTAGGGTGCATTCTTCTTCTAAGACACTGAAAAGAAGATGAACTCTACAAGAACACATGCTTCCTAATACTATAAAGAATTTTTCCATTTTGATACCTGTACTATCTATTGATGGACTGTAACTAATAAAGTGAGAAGCAAGTATTTTCATAACACTAAAGGGCAATGAAAAAAATATTGTATAGAATCTTACAAAGGACAAAAATTCTCATTATCTAAACAGTAAACTCTAAACTCCATGAAGGCAGAAGCACATGTACTATCTTGTTTACCCTTGTATATCCAACACCTATCAAATATTTCTCAATAAATGGGACTTTTCACTAATATACAAAAAGAATTTTCCTTTTTATTGCCTTACAATGGAAAAAATTTCATTAAACACCTCAGATGCTTTTAAACTAAGTTCAACATGACTAAAATGCTGAGGTTTATAGATATAATGTTAAATATAATATTAATGTTTTTAAGATGTAATGGTTTTTTATAATACATGATAACTATGTACGTTAAACACACAAACATGTCTACGGAGCAAGGCACAAAACAGCATTCACTAGGTTGGAAAAGTTTAGCCAGTATGCATGGAAAGTAGGAAGGAAATGATATTCAGATGTTATAAGACAGGCATGTTTCACTAGTATATTAATAACTAAGCCAAAGTAAGAGTTACCAGGGGTATGAAGTATAATAAAAAGAATGTTAGCATACTCAAGGATTAGTAAATAACTTGCCTAATCAGATTAATTATTAGGAACTCGCTTAAAAGTCATGCTATATCCCATTATTTGAGTAGAGAAGGTTTTCAGGTATATAAAAAAAAAAAGAGAGAGAGATTATTAGGTCTAAAGAACATGTACTTTTGCTTGTATTTAACCATTTTCCTTTACTCTATCGTAAAGAGCCTCCAAATACAGTAATTAATGGACAGACATAAGAATGCACAGATGTAACTACAGGAGAAAAAGTTCCATGAATAATACCTGAGGGCAAAAGCAATGATGGAGCTGGGTTCTTTCTCACAGACTGCAATGGGCACCCGTTCGTGTTCATACATTAAATAGTGTTTATCTGGATCACTGTTCAAAATTTTAAAATGAATTCAGAATATAAAGTAAATCAAATATAAAATTTATTAACTTATTACAAGTAAGTCTCAGGACAATTTAGCCAAAATGCACACACATGCTGAGAAATTGAATCAAATTGACAACAAAAGACAAAGAAAAGTTTTTTAGTAAATTGGAAAATTACCAGAAATTTTGCAGGGAGTTTGGGAACAGTTACCCTAAAGTTTTCCATACTGCCAAGATTTTAGTCATACTAGTCTAAAAAAAGATATGCAAATAAATAAAGTCAAAAATACCTTTAGAGAAGCGTCTCCCAGCAGCAGTCGTAGGAACAGTACTACAACTAGTTCCACAACCAGTAACACAACAAAGCCACTCCACTGTCATCACATGGAATCTGAGTGGTGACTCCATTTAAGTTTTGCCTCCCTGATTTCTGCTGTAACGCCTCTAGAAACCATTAGCTAGAGGCATGCATTTATTCAGATGCTATTTACTAAATATCCAATGTGCTACGAACATAATATTGAGGAAAAACTATCATTTAAGCATTTTATATATGTGAGTGGTGAACAGTACACTGGTGAGAAAAAAAAAAAAAACAGGCACAGAAATTTATAGTACAGAAGAACAAAGAAACTATCCTACAAGTAAATACAATCATTCTGTGACAAGTGCAATAAGAGAATTATTATGGGATGAATGTCTGATTTCCGTTTCCCAAATCACATGCTGAAATCCCCACTACAGCACTATTTGGCCTTAGGTCTTAAGGGTGGATGGGATCAGTGATTTTTCCTTAGGAATCCCATTCTTCATCTGGGAGCAAAAGAACAGGAACTAAATAAAAATTTAAATACTAAATGAATAAATATATGTCAGTTAAGAAAAAAAAGTCCTTTTTTATTTATATTTTATATATATAAGTTGTGCCTTCATGTACTAAGTGGGCATGCGATGCCCACAGAGGCCAGAAGTATGCATGGGATCCCCTAGAACTGGAGTTAAGGGCAGGTGTTAGCTGCCAAGTGGATGCTGGGAACTAAACCTGTATCCTCTGGAAGAGGAGTGAGTGCTCTGAATGCTGAGTCATCTTGCCAGCCCTGAAAGTACTTATTAACAAATGTCCACATTTCGCATAAACTTGTACCACCATAACAAGAGCAGCATTTGATGGCCACACCAGTCAACCAGTAGAATAACAAATTTTTACAGGGAGCTTACATTCATTTCCAGTCTGAGTGAACCCAGCACAAAAAAGTTAACATGAAAACATGCATGGGTCATCTTACCCCTCAGAACAGTGCCCTGTTCCAGGGAATTACTGGACCAGCAAGGTCCTCAGATGCAGCCAGAAATGTTTTTTAATGATCAATGAATATAGGCTACAGAGATGGCTCCAATAGGTCAAAGTACTTGCTGAACAAGCATGAGGACCTGAGTTCAAATTCCTAGTACTCATATAAAAAGTCAGGTATGGCCACACATGCCTATAGCTGCAGTACCACTGGGGAGAGACAGGAGTATCTCTGGGGCTTGCCAGATACCAGTCTAGACCCAAGTTCCGTGAAAGCCCCTGTTTCAAAGGAATAAGGTTAATAGTAAAACAGCAGGATACAGGATGTCTTTCTCTGGCCTTTATATGTGTACAGGGGCACACATCTGTGTCCATTACACCACAAGCTCATATATCAGCCCCCCCAACATATACATACTGCACATTCTCTCTCTCTCAAATACACATACACATACTTTAAAATAAATTTTGAAAAAAATTAATGGATGTAGCACTATATCTTTTTTAAAATTTATTTTTATTTTACTTGTATGAGTATTTTGCCTGCACCTATGTAAGTGCATCTGTACATGCAAACAAATGGAGTCCAAAAGAGGGCCTCAGATCCCCTAGAACTGGAGTTACAGACAGTTGTCAACTGCCATGTGCATGCTGAGAACTGAACCTAGGTCCTCTGTAAGAGTAGCCACTGCTTTCTCTTCACTGCTGAGCCATCTCTCCAGCCCCTTTGTAGCCCAGAAACCACTCATTCCTCCAAAAAGCATACAATGGGCAAGCGCAGGGCACCCTGAGAAGAAGGATGAAGCCTAGCAAGAGTGGAAGAGGGAGAGAGCCAAGGGTGCTGCTCAGGAGCTGGGATCAGGAAGTGTGCAGGGAGTTTAGACCAAGGGGTGAGCCCACATGCCCACAGGGCACAGGTGAAAGCTAACAGACCTTCTTTTTGTAAGTTGCTCCCTCCCTCTCATATAAACCTTGAGAAATCCAAGATAAAAATGTGTTATGCAGGCATGAGACCTTGAGAGAGTGAGGGCGGGTCAAACAGAGAGCCAGAAAGGGAAAATTTAGTGCAACACCCTTGTAGCACTGTATGTTTACACAGGCACATCTGTTTTCATAACTAGTGAGTTTAAGCACTAAGCAACATTAGCTAATGTCTTTTTAATCTATTTATTACTACATAAGTGGCACACGCCTTTAATCCCAGCATTCTGGAGGCAGAGGCAGGTAGATCTCTGTGAGTTCAAGGCCAGCCTGGTCTACATAGTGAGTTCCAGGGGGGAGGGGGCTACAGGGAGACCCTGTCTCAAAAAGACCCCCCCAAAAAAAAGAAAAACACTCTAAAAATTACATGTCACAAGTCATCTCTTTTACTAGGACGACATGAAATTTGGGATTAAGAAATATGTATTTGCAGATAAACTGATCTAAATATATTTAAAAAAAAAAAAAAAAAGCATGTGGAGAGAGCCACTGGGTTTTGTTAATACTTACAAAGGAAATGGAATAGGATTATAGCTGTTTCCTGGAAGCAAATTAGCAAAGATGGCTTTCATAGTTGACTTTTCCTTCACCTGGCTGTCTGTGGATCCGAGCAAATGTCCATCAAACACATCTAGAATGAAAAGTATTCTACTTATACATGAATAGTCAAGAAAAATAAAAAGCAGAAGTGTCAGTTTTACTCCTTTTTCTTTTGAGAATATAGGCAGGCATATTGAACATCAGTTACAAATTATTATTTAAATTTTTTGATCTGGAAAATTGGCTCTTATGAGCTGAAATAGCAATAGTGAAATGTACTCAGCACTGACTCCAAGGGACATGTCTTGTTCCTTACATTTGAAACTGAGATCATCCTGTATCAATGGTTTCTTACCACACAGGAGCAGGCAGCAACTGTGAGAGAATTACTCCTGAGTACATATGAACTCAGCCACAGCTATTCGTGTTATCACATCAACTCAGGAATGTGCACTATGGCTATTTTACCTCAGTTTAGTAGTAACTGGTAAAGTGAATGTCAAAGTTTATACTATAATTAAATAGCTACTGCTTAAACAAAAAGCAAGGAAACCAAGAAGCAAGATATGACTTTTGTTACAAAGTGAATATGTTTGTTAAAAAAACAATAGCAGACATTTTCCTCATTCTCTTACCTTATACTCTGTGATTTAAGGAAGTTAAGGGACCCCCTAACCCCTGACAAAAGATAGGTGACACTAAATAGCATTTCATTACTAAGATATCTACATACACAATTAATGCACGCCAATTAGTGCAACTCATGGAAGAAGTATCATAATGAAAAGGTGTACTTTTAAAAAGCACTTTCAACCAACATAAAGTAAAAAATTATAAAGGATAAGAAAGCATTATATCAAAGAATTAAAAGAATTAGCAATGTTGCTGTTGTTGTTTTCAGACATATAAAGGAAGGAATCATCTTAGCTTCAATTCAGTGACGTATGGTAAAAGCAACCTAAACTGTACCTTCAGAACCACTGGCTGTATCTAGGTCAGGGGGCCCTCCCATTGCCTGCTCAGCCAGGGCCTCTGGAGGAGTAGGCAGCTGGAGATGGGTGGAGCTAGTGGAGCTTTGGCTGGACAGGGTTGTCAAGAAGCGATCCTCTAAAAAGAATTAAAAAAAAAATCACAATCTTAAATGAGTTATTTTAAAGGAGTAGGTCCAGTGGGGTACGGTGGTACATGCCTTTAATCCCAGCATTCCGGAGGTGGCGGCAGGGAGATCTCTGTGAGTTCAAGGCTAGCTTGGTCTATATATCAAGTTCCAAGGAGTCACTGCTACATAATGAGACTCTGTCTCAAAAAAAAATTAAATTTAAAAAAAGAGTAAGTCCATTTCTACCAAATATTAATGCTTTTTAAATGCCAAGTCATAGTTGTACTTCTTTAAAATATGGAATTTTACCATTTTGAAAATCATCTAGGTCAGATCATAGAGATGGAAACAAAAATCCAAAGATTATATGGCTTGACCATAGTCAAATCTTGGTGGCAGTACTATAACAACCAATTCTGACTTTTACCCCACACAATATCCTTTCCACTATACCGCAAGACCTCCCTAAATATTACTCAGGTTAACAGACAATGAAATGAGAATACTATGGGGGAAAACACATGCTCATTCTAAAGAAAAAAAAGACATTAAGTTACAATTATTATGGGAAAATATCAAAAGTTATGAGTTAATCTCTTATTCAACAGATAGTCTATGTAAATTTCCCCACATGATGACACTATTATTAAATGAAGTAGTATGAAAGACATCTTAAACCCAGAAAACAATTTAATGACATAAAATATAAAGTAAGCATGCTAAAATTCTTGTAATGAAACAAGAAGGCTGATTTCAGAATAAGCAAAGAGAAATTCGGTGTCATTTTGTTTCTTCCTCCCCTATTAGCAGCCCTCTCTATAGTGTATATATTTCTATGTCCTAATGTATCTTCTTATCATATGACAGCTCAAGCCAATAAGAATTATAAATGCTCTAGATAGTGGGCTGAATAAGAATGTCCCCCATAGGCTCTAAGTATTCGGACATTTTATCCCCAGTTGGTGGTACTGTTCGGGGAGGTTTTAGGAGGTGTGGCCTTGCATGTCACTGGGGACAGGCTTTAAGAGTTCTTAAACTGCCAGATTTCCAGTCTCTCTCTGCTTCCTGTATCTACCTGAAAATGTTATCATTCGGCTTTCTGCTTCGGCCACCTCTGCTGCCATGCCTCCCCCACCATTAAGGACCCTTGAACCATAAGCTCAAATAAACTCTTCCCTCTCTCTATAAGTTGCCTTGGTCATGTTTTATCTCAGAAACAGAAAAGTAGCTAATACAAAAAGGGGGGAAATGACTAGAGACAACTCAACAACAACAACAAAAAAAAAGACTCAAAATCAACAGTTTAAAACAACTTATACAATAGAAATTTATTTAAATTCAACAGATTGAAAAACCAACCTTTTTCTCCATTTTGAAGTCCTGGAGAAATATTCCTTGGAGATGTGTCCATTGCACTTATCTGTGGAGAAATACATATGTTATCCAAGGAAGCATTAAAAATCAGTTTTAGCCAGGCGTGGTGGTGCACGCCTTTAATCCCAGCACTCGGGAGGCAGAGGCAGAGGCAGGTGGATCTCTGTGAGTTCAAGGCCAGCCTGGTCTACACAGTGAGTTCCAGGACAGCTGGGGCTACAGGGTCTCAAAAAGATTAAAAAAAAAAAAATTTCAATCAGTTTTAAAGGAGTCTAACCCAGTGAATATTGAACATTTTGGGCTAAGGACCTGTTTACACTCAAATATTTTGAGTGTAAATATTATAATTTCAAGTAGCTTTTGCCTTACTGGTAATTAAACCTGAGGACATTTAAAAATATGTATTTATTAGTTTATTTAGAAATAATAGCCCTATTACATAATAAACATAAGTATAACAAAACTAATTAAAGAAAAATAAAGCTATTTCCTAAAATTTAAAAACCGATGAAGAGAATGTCACCGTTTTACGTTTCCAGAAATATCTCTGATGTCGAGCTAACTAGAAGATAGCTAGAATCATACCTGGCTTCTGCATTTACTCTGTTGACATACATTTTTAGAGTTGCAGTTCTGGCTTCCCACAGATAAGCAGTTCCTAAAGAGAAGACCTCTAGGCATGGACTCTAAGGAACACTTGAACCATACTTTGAGATTACTGTTCTAAATGGTAGTTCACACTTGACATAAATGCATCTAGGAATGCTGAGGACTATTCAGTAAGCCTAGTAATCATTTATTATCCACTGAACCTTCTAGAGTCCTCTTACCTATGGACAAGATATATCAGAATGACTATAAGCCTCACACACAATTTAGAGAGTGATTTCTATATGTCACTAAAGATTACCATATCAGAGATATCTTCCCGGGCACTTTACATAAAATAACTGAGTAGTATACTATTACATACTTCATCATCTGAGTTCATGTGTATTTTTTACCAAATGTTTCATGAGGATAGTAACTATAGCCTTTGTTCACAAACACATGCTTTATAACCTAAAAAATGCCCAAACTAGAATAAGCACTCAAGAATTATTTATCAAATGAATAAATATAAAGGCACTGCAACAGAATTTCAAGTCAATTTTCAACTTTCCAAAAGCTGATCACCAACTGAGTGATCTCATATTTCCAAGTTTGTGTCTATAAGCTATACCCAAAGGGCCTCACACTAGTAACTTTGCAGTATCTTTAGTAGACAAATGGAAAACTATCAAGCATATGTCCTGGTCGTCAACAGCCCTGGGCTAGATGACAAATACTAACATACAGATCATCTTCAGTAACCTTATTCTTACATCTAAACATTAAGGGAACACGTACAAAAAGAAATACTGCCTCAAAAGCCTTTGTGATATGAGCATGCAAGGCCCTATACTAGCATCAATTCATATGAAATTTGGGCAGCATGACAGGCAAAATTCTAAAGGGCCTCAAGATGTCTAGTTCCTGTTATATGCACCCTTATTCCAATTATTCTACCAAGCACTAATCGAAATGTTGCTGTGAAGGAATTTTTCAAATATAATCATGGTGCCAAGTCAGTCACAAAATGAGAAGAAATCCAGATGCAAGTGCATGAGTCTCAAATTTGTGTCTGTACATCAAAGAGACAAAGGAAATAAGTGATCTAAAGCACAAGAGGGACTGCACCATTGTTGAAGGATTTGAAGAGGGAGCAGACTACAGGGAATCCAAGCAACCATCAATAGCTATCAACAAAAAGAAGTCAGTTCTGTCACTATAGGAACTGAATGCTGTCAACAACCTGAACAAGCTGGGAAGAAACCCTGATTTTCAAATGTGAGAGAAGCCCTGGCCAAACCCTCCATTTGAGTTCTATGAGACTCTGAGAACCTAGCCATACATGCCAGATGCACTCTGACCCACAAAACTGTGAAATAATAAATCCATACTTTGAACACCAAGTTTGTGGTAATTTCCTACCAGCAAAAGAAAAGCAGTCCAGCTGGAAAAAGTAAACTGACATTGTATACATTATATATGGGTGTGTATGAGATATAAAGGATATATATAGATATATATAATCTTATTCAGTTCAGATACCTTAAGAACTTCTTATTTAAGCACAAGGATAAAGCACATCCAAAACTACACAATAAAAATGAGAATTCTAACTATGCACTCTGAGCTCTCACATCTTTTCTTTTGTAATATCCTCAGTGACACCTCAGTGGATAGATATTTTTAAATAAATATTTCAAATAAATGAATTATAACACGTTATTTTATTTTAGGATAGGATATAAAAGTAATCCAGATCATATCTCCTTGAAAACTCATAACAGTAAGACAGAGAGCATCTGTGTATTATAAAGCATTTATAACAATCCTATTATAAATGGAACTAATTATATTTCTGTACTGGATAGCTTTAGTGTCAACTTGACACACCTGGGTTGAGGGAGCCTCAACTGGGGAACTGCCTCCATTGGACTGGCTGTGGCCATGTCTGTGTGGTATCTTATTAATTACTGAGCGATGTGAGAGGGTCCAGCCCACTGTGGGCAGTGCCACCCCTGGGCAGGTGGGCCTATCTTGTATAAGAAAGCAGTCTGAGTATGGACCAGGAGAGCAAGCCAGTTAAGCAGTGTTCCTCCATGGCCTATGTTCCAGCTCCTGCCCTGAGTTCCTACCTTGGGCTGCCTGATGACCTGTGACCTGGGAGATGTAAGCTGAATAAACCCTTTCCTCCCCAAGTTGGTATCAGTCAGAGTGTTGTGTTACAGCAATGGAGAGACAAAGTAGGACAATTTCTATCAACAAATCAGCAAAGACAATGCTCCATTTTATTACCTTGCTTTCTTCCCCTTGTCTTAGTCTTCCAGGACTTGGAGGAACTGAAGGCCTCTTTCTACCTTTTTCCTGCTGGAAAAGGTCCTGCAACCTATAGTCAAAGGCAAAAAGGAATATGGCTTTGTTTCCAACATTTTGAAGGATAGTTATAACTTTTTTCTTTACAATTTGAAATTACATAGTCCATCTTTCTCTGTGGTTGTAGTACACATTATATGGTTATATACACATTAAAGTACACGTTATATGGTTATATACACATTAAAGTTGTATATCACTACAACTAAGCTCTTATGATAACTAATCAGCTAATGAAGAGCTCTTACTGGTATGATAATAATTAGAAAATTGCAAGTTACTATAAAGATAAATATTTTTAAAAAAATATTGAGTAATGGTATAAGATAAACCTATTAATATATTTAAAATTCCAGTCTCAAAACCAATTATCATTCCTGGGACACTTAACTCTACTAAATCTCACTCAGCAGCATGCACATTTGAAACGGTACAGGGCTGTTTCCATGTTTGTGGGTTTGTTGTTGTTGTTTAAGAAAAACTTTAATTGCCATTCCAAAAAACACCTTTGCGAAGTAAAAAATTGTTTTATTAATATTAATAAAGAATATGTTCTAGAAAGTAGAGGTAACTGGTTGTAAAATTCTGGCAGTCATTTAATAAAAGTCAGATGGTTAGTTGAGACCAACATCGAATGAGGATGAAAGCCTTGTCTGTGGGGAATTTTGGATGATAAATGCAGAAATATTATACTGTGCATAAACCAGATTGAAATGTTTTCACAAGTGTTGTAAAAGTTTCATATAGTAAGTTTTTTTTCTATATGCTCTTCAATTTCACAGCAAGAATGGTATAGAATACAAGATATCTAACTCCCTGATATAATGCATACACTTCAAAATGATTACACTATGATTATACCTAGGACTTTCTGCAACTACAAGGTGGTACTCATGGAAAGCATGGCCCCCAGGATCAACATCTAGAAAACAGCCACCACCTTCTATGTGTCCTCTCTTTCTGTACTTTTTCATAATTTTTCTTAACTCTCCTGTTGTTGCTGCTGCTTAGCAAAACTGGTAAAAACAAAATTGTAATCTGGCAATCAAAATGTTTAAAACATTCAATCTTCTCAGGTGAAGAAAGCTCTGTGTAACACTTAGAATTCTGGTTGACAAACAAGGTGGTCACAAATTTTCCTGGCTTGAAGACTTCCACAACTTTCCTAATCAGGTCATCATAGGAGGTTTGACTTAAGTTGTTTCAAAGCTAGCATAAGAAAATTCTGGTTCTGGAGTGATGTAAATAGTCCAGGATGTTCCATCAAATTTCATTCCATTCATCCAATAGCCACAAGGATTGAACAGTGTGGCATCAATGACAAAACCTGGTATCAGGTCACGAATTCCACTCTCACGAGTGACATCCTTTGCAGTAACACCATCTTTCATACAGAACTGGTCTATAACTACTAGGTCAAGCTTACTCATCAGAATTTCCAGAGTTTGATCTGGACGACTTATTACTCAGTTCTCTGGGAAATCCAAAGTATACAAGACCAACAGTCAGAATTCATACGTCCCATACAATATGCTGCTCCATTTGGGAAAACTGCATTAAGAAACTCCATTTCTTCCTAGAAATTTTGGTGTGGGTACCCTTGGTAAGAAGGCTTCATGAAATTCTTACAAGAATGAAAAAAGCTTTGAATTGAGTCAAATCCACTATAATCCCTAGCAAGCTTCAACAGGGAAGCCAGAGCTTTCAGTAAAGAGTGGTACCACATGTCTTCAAAATGAAATGTCTCTTGGAGACAAACATGCTACTCTGAGTACATAAGCTTCCTGCTTGTCAGTCTTTGTCATACTTATGATTAAACACTGCACATCCTTCAAAAGTACATCCCACTCAGATCTTGGGATAGTGTAAAAATCCCCAAATCCCTGGTTTGCATCGGCCTTCTGCCTGAAGAACCAAAGCTCCAGCAGTTTCAGCTATTTTTGTGAGCAAAAGTTGAACGTGAGTCTGTTGCAAATAGAGGCAGATACTGTTCAGTCTCTTGAAATCTGCTGCTTTCCCATTAGAGAGAGTTGAAGGAATGGTAGCTAATGTCCCTGGCCATACTTTGTAAGCCCCATATTTGTTTTTTCTTTATCTTCACAATTTACAGACCAGCACACATAGTTTAAAGGATGAAGAGAAGAGAATAAAGACCAAAAAAATTCTTTCTGACTAGAGAAAATTAAACATCTATAATTAATACTTTGAATTTTAAAATATTAGGGTTGGAATTAAGTGGTAGAATACTTGCCTAGCAAGCTCCAGGCCTTGAGTTTGGTACCCAGAACCAGAAAATAAATATATTTTAAAATATTATAGCAAAGCAAATTCAGGAACAGTATCAAGGAAAATCTGACACAGTCATACCTGTTATTCCAAGCTTGTAACACTTCACAGAGACTTTGTTTCTTGGCAATGAGTGACTCAAAGACCGACTGCAGTTGCTGAGGGGTATCTACAGAGGAAGACATGAGTCTTGCCTGCATCTTTTCAATCCAGTTCTTGAACTCACCTTCTTCCATCTGGAAGACAACCAAAACAATTTCATTAAACTGAGACACTACACAGACACATACCAAAAAGACTTCTAGTAACAAAATAATCAACTTTTGGATTTTCTATATTAAAAAAAAGAAAAAAAGAAGAATTACCTCCTTTTGTGCAAAGATATCTTCCATTTTTTCCTCTCTTGTTTTGCTAAATGTATCAGTTTTCAGAGATGCAAGTCTTTCATCAACAGCTAGGTATACCTGTGAAACTCTATAAATGGAAGGAAAGAACATCACAAACATTAGAGAAACTGAAATCAAACTATCTCACATAAATTATGGAAAAAGATATTTTATGTAAAACTATAACTAGAATGGCTTCTACCTAAATAAAAATCATATAGAATCTTACAAAAGTAGTAAAAACCTCAAAGGAAACACTTCAAAATTTTAAGTTGTTTGTAATGTCTGAGAGATACTTTCCAATATTATTTATGCTTTTCTTTTTCATACTGAGCAGACAACACAAAATTATAAGAATATAGTTGTTTCTATTTCAAAAGAAAGGTAAATGAACAAACTGATAAAACAGCTATGAAGAGGCTGGAGAAATGGCTCAGCGGTTAAGAGCACTGACTGCTTTTACAGAGGACTCGGGTTTGATTCCCAGCACCCAGTTTCAGGGGAATCCGATGCACTCCTCTGACCTCTGCAGTATTGCATGACACGGTGCACTCACAGACATGCAGGCATTATACTCATACACATAAAATAAAAATAATAAATAAAATATTTAAAAAAAAAACAGCTGTGGATTACAAGCATTACTAAACAAAAATGGATGATCAAACAAACTGAACCTTACTTCTGAAAAAAGTCCTTGAGATCCTGAAGAAGAGACACTTTTAATGGGGCTTGACGTTTAATGAATATTTTGGGGAGTGGTACACATACTTCCAGAAGTCGAATAGGAGTATAACTGAGGAAAGAGAGAAGAAAAAGGGGAAAAATTGATAATTTGAAAGACAAATGGCAAATTAAATTCTAACGGGGCATAAGAGAAAAAGATTTCTATAAAGTTTCATAAAGGCATAAAGGGTAACTTTTAAACACTAGAAATATCTTTCCCAGTTTTGGAGGGACTTTGTTCTATCCTTCCAGAGTAACACCATCCCATCTACTATAAAAGCAAAAATGAATTTAATGTAAACTTTCTCCTATGGGTGAGAAAAGGAACTTTAAAAGTATTAACTTCACAACTCTGAGGGATAGAGTCTTCATTCCCCTTCCACCCAACATATTGACTAGTAAATACTGTTACCCTATCTACATCCTAAATTTTGGTGACGGTGGCAGTCTTTTTTTTGTGTGGATCTTTGTTTCTGTTGTTTGAGTTTTTTGCTTGTTTATTTGCTTGCTTGCTTGTTTTTGAGACATGATCTCATCATACAGCCCTAGTTGGCCGTAACTTGCTAAGTCGACCTGGCTGGCCTTGAACTCAGAGAGATCCCTCTGCGTCGGCCTCCCGAGTTATGGGATTAAAGGCCTTGTCATCACATACTGCCTACATTCTAAAATTATGGTTAAAAGCCCTTTCTTCGGCCTCAGTCTATATGGCTGGTGCTGCTGGTCACAGTAGCTCTCTCTCCCTCCCTCCCTCTCTCTCTTTCTCGCTCTCTCTCTCCCTCCCTCCCTTCCTCCCTCCTCCCTCCCTCTCCCCTTCTCTCCCCTTTGTGGCTTTGCTCTGTTGAGTCCTGGACTTGGGCAGTGAGGAGGGCAGCATCTCTATGATAGGACCTGACTTGGGGGTGTGAGGGGATGTCATGTAGAGTTTCTGGTCTTCATGTCTGCAATATTCTGAACAGCTGATGTGCCCCCTGCTTAGTGGCCATGCTGTTATTTATATGTTGGACACTGATGATCCACCTGTCTTTCTAATGTGAGCCTTCTGAACACAGGGCAATGGAATAAAACACTTTAAAAATGAAAAAAAAAGGCCCTTTCTTAAAAATGAAAGAAGTTCTAATTAATAAATGTTTCCCAAGTATACTGTGTGCCTGTGCTGAATAGCTTCAGTTGTTAATAGACACATCAAGGAGACAAGAACTTCAGTTAAAGCATGCCTATGGATTTGCTTGTGGCCATGTCTATAAGGCATTTTCTTAACTGCTAACTGATGTGGGTGGGCCCAGCCCAACGTGAACGGTGTGACCCCTGAGCAGGCAGTCCTGGGTTATATAAGAAAGCAGGCTGAGCAAGGCCAGAAGAGCAGGTCAGTAAGCAGCATTCCCCGATGGTCTCTGCTTCAGCTCCTGCTTCCAGGTTCCTGCTTTGGAAGTGTAAGATGAAATAAACCTTTTCCTTTCCAACTTGGTTTTGGTAGGTATTTTATTACAGCAATAGAAAGTAACAAGGACAGTATCAGATACTGTTCTAAATGCCGAGAATATAACACCAAAATTCATGCCCTTATGCCTTAGGAATAATAGATTGGGTAATAAACAAAACATAAATATTTAAGCTGTATCAGAGTACTATGAAGAAAAATAAAGCCAGAATAAGAAGCAGGGAGTGCTAGGCAAGTAAAATTTGAATAAAGACCTACTAGAAGTAAGGAAATAACAAGCCCGTATCTGAGGAATGAGCAGCTGAAAGAAAGAATAAGTATAAGGCTTCCAGGCAGGCACCTACCTGACGCAGCTGAGCCAGACCAGGGCCAGGGAGGCTGCAGGAGAGTGAGAGAGCAGTAGGCGATGAGAGCACAGAGGCCTGGGCAGCAAGAATGCGTAGGGGCTTATAAACCAGGAAAAGGACTGGCTTCCAATGAGGACAAACCAGACATCTTTTGTAATGTCTAAAGCAGAAGAGTGACCTCATCATTTTCCTTTAACAGGGTCACTTTGACTGCTGCACCAAGCGAAAGCAGGTTACAAAGAATAGTTAAATAGAGAGTGGATGGAGCTACTGCAATAACCTCCATGCAAAACAACAGAGACTTAGTAGCCACTGTGGCAGCACTGAAGTTGATGAAGTGTCTCAGTAAGTTCTGAAGGTAGAGCCTGCATTCTCAAATTATTTAATACCATAATGGTGAGTATTTATTCCTTGAGCTTAGAAGTTTAGCTTTATCAGAAGTATCTTATGATCTTCATGGTAATTAATGTCTTAGCAAAATCTGTCAAGGCTTTTGGATGTCAAAACAACAGTGAACAGAGAGGAAGCACAAGATCAACTAGAGTTCAGATCATGACTCCCATCAAGCACGTATACTATCCATGCTTAAAACATCTATAAAATCTAAGAGTAGCCAGGCATGGTGGCGCACGCCTTTAATCCCAGCACTCGGGAGGCAGAGGCAGGCGGATCTCTGTGAGTGCAAGGCCAGCCTGGTCTACATAGTGAGTTCGAGGATAGCTGGGGCTACAGGGAGACCTGTCTCAAAAAAGAAAAAAAAAAATTTAAGATAAGGATAACAAAAATACCGTATTTGCAAGGATAGAGAAAAGCGATGACACATGCCCAAATGCAACAGAATAGTGGAAATATTACGTCTTTAAGGAATGTGATAATGTACAAGATCAATTTGTCTTTTTACCTGAAAGATGCCACCATCTGGTTATAGGAGAAATACTGGTGATAATCATGGTGGATAGAGTGGCCACATGGCTCAGCATTGGCTCTACGTGTATACTGGTGCCCATAAAACCGAAGTTCAAGGTACTTTGCAAATGACATAGACCAAGATTCATTGGAAAGAGCAACAACTGGTGTTACCTAGAATTCAGAAAAAAAAAACATTTTTTTTAATCACATATTGAGAATATCATTTTTAAAAGATGTATTTTCTAAGACAAACAATGTGTTCTGATTGGAGGAAACCGGGAAAAGAACAAAATCTTCAAAGGTGTTTTGAGCTGGGAGGAAAAGGATGAAGAATATCTCAAATATCCCCTAAACAACAGCAATATGCGTGTATATTCTTTACTTTCTTTCTTTACTATTTTTCAAATGGCCACAGAGGATGGACACTTAACCAATCCCTACTGATGGGAATTTGAGGTAAGATTTTCCTTATTTGTATGATGTACCAATGATATATATATATATATATATATACACACACACACACACACACACACTCAGAAACAGACATGCTCCTTATATATACATACTCAGAAACAGACATGACTATTTCCTTAGAATAAATCAGTGAGGGTGGGCACTGACCTCATTGATCAGTGAGGTCAAAGAAAGGGCAATGATCTTGATACTTTCTGCCACATTTCCTCCCTAAAAAGATGCATTCATTTACACAAACTTTAGCAACTAAGAATACTAAGTCCCTAACTTTCTTAACAATCCTAGAAATTATTTAGCTTTAAAAAAAAATTTAAAGCATTTTACTCATTTTATATTTGGCTTCACTTATACTTCACTAATGAATAAAATTAATTTGCATATAACTAACCTATGTGAAACTGCTTTTACATACTCTTTTTTGCCTGTTTTTTCTATCTCTATGGAGACACGACAGAAATTTAACATAAAACTTTTCTTACATTAGAAATTTTTCATTTTTTTCAGGTGTAACAACTCTTTCCCTTTCTGGCATAACCCCAAAGAAAGAAATGTTTGTTTGTTTTAATTAAAGTGCATAAAACCAAAGCATACAAGACAGAAAGACCAAATTTCAGTTATGCACTTAATTCAACAGTCCATGTACAGAGTTAACAAACTGCTGCCCGCTGTCTAATGAGACGTAAAGGCCTATTAATATGAGTAAGGGGCTAGAGTCTAGTTTAATAGTAAAGTAGTTCCCTAGCATGTATCTGATCCCAGCACCACACAAAAGATAATCTGGAAGACTGACAGTTCCGAGAAATCACTGCAGGTCAGCATGCTCCCAGCTCAGAAGGAACTAACTGTGATATTGCCATTCCCAACTGCTATATTAACATGGGACACACTGTCATTTTATCTAAAATTCTCATATATACCTTCCAAGAGCACATTCCAAAATAGGTCAAGGTAACTATGAAGTTAAATTTGGTATACATCCACTACAATTTGAATAAACATTATATATTAAAAACATAATATTGCCATCAAAGAATTCCTTCCAGAGTTAGGAAAGTAAAAACAGACACAGAGGAAATTAAATACATGTTCAAGTCCTTTTTTCAAGACTGTACACGAAAACTAGTAAAGGCCATTTTCAACAAAGGATTATCTATTATTTTTGCAAAGAGAGTTGTTGATATAGACTTAAACTTATTAGATTAAATATTTGAATCACTGTAGTTATTGCCTTATGTCTGTCTTCTCCCCTAGAAGCCATTCCTTATTCTCTTTCTATTCCTAGGGCCCAGCACAGTACCTGGCACACAGATGGTACTAAGTAAGTCTGAAGAATAAACAAGCATAATTGAAAATTATCAAAATATAATTTCAATATATCTTATCAGACAAAGCATCTGTACTTTATTTAGTGACAAATATTCCTTACATGGAATCTTAAATATACACTAGGCTGAACACAGCACAAGAAGGCATACAAATAAGACCACACCCAAGGGACTAGAGAGATGGCTCAGCAGTTTAGAGCACTGGTCGCTCTTGCAGAGGACCAAGGTTCAGGTCCCAGCACCCATATGGCAGCTAACAATCATCAGTCTAGGTCCAGGGGATTCGACACCCTTCTCTGGCTTCTGCAGGCTTTCTCTGGCCTCCACAGGAATTGCAAACACATGGTGCACTTACATAAATGCAAACAAAATACTCATAATAAAAATAAATTAAAAATTAAAATACATAAAGACCACCAAGTTCAAAATATTACTGAGCACACATCCCCTTCTCCAAAGAACTACACAAATAAAGAATGAAAAGTCATAAGAAATATTGTAGTAACAGCATATACTTGTTTGCAGATTCTGCACCAGGAGTATGTGAGAATCGTATGTTGATATCCAGGTACTGGGGAATCCAACTCCTTCAGGATTATCTGCACACAGCCTTGGCCATGGACAAAGCGTCGAATGTGATGCACCATAGGGGTATCACAGAACATACTAGGACACTGGTAAGAAGACCTGTGACAAATAAGAGAGTTCTTCTCACATTAATCATGAAACAGAGAGGTCACACAAAATAAGTGCTGGCCAACCAGAATCATCATCAAGGAAGAACAGTATCCTTTCTAGAGTACTGATGAACAGTGGACAGTCTGTACAAAGATGCATTCTGCTCAGAGCTGCAGATGAACATTCTGTCTTAAACTGAAGCATGGTAAGAGTTTCCATTTATCAAACACCTTCTAATGGCCAATTTCAAACACTTCATTTTACCCATTAGAAAGCTAGATATGGGGCCAGAGACATGGCTCATCAGTTAACAACACTGGTTGTTCTTGCAGAAGACCCGGGTTCGAATTCCAGCACCCTCGTGGCAGCTAACAACTGTCTGTAACTCCAGTCCCAGGGGATCCGACAGCCTCTTCTGACCTCCACAGACACTGCACGACACGGGTGCACTTAACTACATGCAGGCAATACACGCATACACATAAAATAAAAATAATAAATAAAATTAAAAAAAAAACACCTAGCTATTTCTAAGGATTGTATTCCCTGTTGAGGAGGCTGGTAAAACATTAAATCACTTGTACTATGCTGTGTAAGTGGTAAGTAAAAGCAGTAATATTTAACTGGGGTCTAGCTGATTCCAACCCTTCCCCTAGTCTCCCACTTGAATCACTTTAAAGCAGACATCCTGAATAAGTCTTAGGATAGTTGAGTGACTAAACAGGCAAATATGCAAGTTAAGACATCCCAGTGTGAATAGGCAACAGATCATATTTTTCTATGATATAATCTGATATGATGTATGAAAGTGAGGACCACTAACAATATTTAACATTCAACTTGTGCTTATGTTTTAGTTTGAAATTTCTGGGCTTCAACAACGCATAATAAATTGTTAAGAGGAAAATTAGCTCCTACCTGAAACAGTATCTTTCTAAAAATATTCCTAATGTAAGATCATTCTTTCCATAAAATTCCATTGTTACAATCCTAAAAGAAAAAAACTATTTATTAGAAACATGTAAGCATTACCACAAAGATATGTCAAAAGATTACATATTCTAATTATTAAATGTGCTTATAATGAATTACAGTATTAAAGCAAATAGTATTTGTTGTTGCTATAGAGTAAGCTTTGCTTCCGATTGTCAAACAAGTGTGGACTAGCCACACTACAGCACCTTTTATACTCCCAGTCCATTAGTACCTTGTGAAGCTGCTTAATGAGGATGCATAAATTAAAATATTAATTGAATAAAATTAACTTCAATTAGGAAGAGGTAAAAGCTTCCTTGACAAAGACTCAAAATCCCATCAACATTAAAAAAATAAATAAAAAACAATTCCCAGCTTCTGCTCTCTGGCCCATGCCTTCACTGTATACAGAGAACAGTAACTCTTACTCTTACTAAACAGTCGACTCCTAACTTTGTATCTAACTTAGAACTAGTTACCCACAAACAAGAGACTTTGACTGTATGCCTCCTGAAACCCATGCCTTAGTCAAGTATTAAATTCCTAAAATAATTCTTATGGGCTTTCACAAAGACGGATTTGAAGCTAGTCTGGAACTATACCAGTTCTAGAAAAATTTCTCCCTGTTGTAGTGTTTTATCATGGAAACAGTGCTGGGGGAAAAAAAATACAGTATGTATGTGTTGTGTGTGTGTGTTGGAAAAAAAATAATGGGGTGTGTGTGTCTGTGTCTGTGTGTTTGTGATGCTGGGGGTCCAAATCCAGGGCCTCATGCTTGCTAAGCATACATTACCATTGAGCTATACCCCAACCCCTGCATTGTTCTTTTAAAACTGAACATAAGCCATAAAATGAAAAGCTATTGTGATGGCGTTGTCAATTCAACAAATCTATTGTCTCCTGGAAAATGGGTCTCTGTGCATGCCTGTGGGAGATTATCTTGATTGACATGGAAAAATGCACCCATTGGGGATGGCACCATTCCCTGACTGGGATCCTCGGCTACACAAAATGAAGAAAGCAATGTGAGCTGAGCAATAAGACCAAGCATTATTTTGCTCTCATCTTCTGAATGCCGATTTAATGTGACCAGCTACTTCCAAGTCCAACTACTTTCACTTCCTTTCCATGACAGGCTGTAACTTAGAACTGCGTGCTAACTAAACCCTTTCTC